AAGTAAATCCCCAACAGTGGTAATGTGCTAACAATACTGATAATAAGGACTTGTGATTCAAAATAATGACCTTGAAATATTTGTTAAAAAGCTTTGATCATCAGGGTAAGACCTAACACTATGTTGTAAGGCAGAAGAATGAAGTCATTTTAGAACACTTTTTACTAAACAATAGTTTATAATGAGCCTTTAGTTAACCATAAAAGTACAAATAGGATATTTTAATTTCTTTCACATTAATCAAAGGTAGACAATGTTTAAACATTTTGGTAGTGTCTGTAAAATAATGTGTTAACAGTTAACAGGCGGTTTCAATTATGTACATAACATCTCTTTCCTCTGAACTTCCGTAGCACATAATTATAGTTCTTTTATGGAAAATGTAACATTCTCCCTACCAGTACTGTTGTTTCTTTGTCGTTGTCTCAATAATATGTTCATATAGGAAAGGGACTGAGTCTTATTGTGTTCACTCCCCTAAAATAGTGCTTTGCACACAGTAAGAATTCAATAAATGTTTGATTTTAGAACATGCTTGATTTTAGTCACTTGTTCAAGCAACATTAATTTCATTAAAAAAAAAATCTTTGGCTTTGTATCATTATCTCTAGAGTTGTCTTTTAAAATATTCAATTAAAACAATCAATATTTACAAATAAAAAGTTATGATTATAAAAACATTTGGTACATGAATCTAGTGCAAAAAGACGCTTGCTATGTTTATTGTTACATGGAAATGACGCTTCTAACATTATTCATTCAAAAAAAGCATTCCAAGAAAAAATAAGATGAAAAGCATCTTGACTTCTCATTCTGAATTATGTCTCCCATAAAGTATTTAACAGATGCTCTTTGTATTACAATCTACTTAATGTTAAAATAAACTCCTTGAGCTTATGGCAAATGTCAAATCAAAAGAAATCTAATATTAATGGTATATTCGAATAGCAATCTAATGAACACGGTAATACAGAACCCCTTAATAATGACTTTTCTGCTGAGATTATAAGCTTACAAATGAGATAAGGTATATCATAATTATAAATAATGATATTTCATGTCTTCATATTTAATATTGAAATGATTTAAGTCTATCATTATGATTATATTTGCAAAGTAAATTTTGTTAAACCTTACCACAGAATGGTAAGTTCAGTTAATATCAGAGGGTGTGCTTTACCATATTGAATAATTTATTGAACACTGATATACTTAAAGCTAAGTCTTAAGTATTAACTTTGCATTTGTGTGTGTGTGCGTGTGCGTGTGCGCGCGTGTGGCCAAATATTTCATGGTGGTGAAGCCAAAACTCTGAAAATTTAGGTTTGGCAAATAATGAGATGATGCATTTGGAACAGAAAGATTAGTGTAAGGTTTCAAAACAATCAAATCTAGAAGAAGAGGATGATGCAAAAACCGACTACTGCAATAGGTAACGAAGCATAATCATATATACCATGTTAAGTGAAAATTTTACCTATATGTAAAGAAATTATGCAAAATGGATTCTCTTGTCTAATTTTGTACATTACAGACTTTGAATTTAGTAATCAATTCACTCAACACACATGCCAATCTATTGCGAACGTATTTAAAAACACTGTAGTTTTTTCTAATACTTTTGGTAGCTGTCAAGTATATGATATTTAGCCTTTATTTAAACGGACTGAAATTTTACTACATAGAGATGCAGAATGGTCTCATTTGTTCTTACTAGTTTTACCAAAACATTTCAACAGTGTTTTCCTAGAATCACTTAGGGCCATTACTCCAGTGAAATCTTTCAAATATCCCATAAAAATCAATGAAAGCATAATTATATAAATAAAAGATGCTTAAAAACTCTCCAAGGGTCATACATACAACTCAGATATTAAACATTATCAGGATGTGCAACCAAGCCCCCATTTCTCACCTTGGAAGGTACACAAATCCTTCAGAGGCATCCTGTTAGGGGCCTGCGAGACTCTTACTCAAGCCACCCCGGCTTTAAACGCCTCACTCGCCACCTGCGAACGGCGAAGGAGCAGCCTCTCGCTGCGGGGACCTTGCCACCTGTACCCTCGCAGGCCGAGGTCGTTCTCCCGGTCGGCTTCCCGCCTCACCCGAAATGGAATGAGAGCATCTACCCAAGACAGTGACTGGCAGGGCAGATCAAGGTGTCCTGGTCTCGGCCCCAGCCCCGCGGTGCGCCCCCGCCCGCTTACCTTGACCGGGTGCAGGTAGCCTTCGCCGCGCAGGGAGCCCAACCCGGGGTCCGCCGCCGCCTCGGCGTCGTCCTGCAGGCTGCGGGTGAGGTGCGCGATGTAGGTGGTGGCCAGCAGCAGCACGTCCAACTTGGATAGCTTGGTGTCGGGCGGCACGGACGGCAGCGTGCGCTGCAGCTCCAGGAAGGCGTGCCGCAGGGTCTGCACCCGGCTGCGCTCCCGCGCTGCATTCGCAGCCGCCGGCCGCCCGCTCCCGGAACGCGCACCGCCCCCGGGGCCCGCCGGCCCCGGCCCGGTCAGCTCGGTACTCGAGTCGCGGATGGCGGCGGCCAGGGGCGCGGGCTCGGCGCTGACGCTGAGAGGGCTGCCCGCGGGGCGGTCGCGCTCCATGGCAGCTTCCCGCGCCGCACGCGCTGCAAAGGACCGAAGGTGCGGTGAGGCCAGGGGGTGGTCGGGCTTAACCTGAGAGGCGCAGCCCCCTGGTTCTCCCCGTGCGCCCACTAGCAGCCCAGCGGGGCTGAGGGCGCTCTAAAGCGAGCTCGTTTTGCCTGGGGCGCGTTTTGCCTCCTGACGTCTGGGGCGAGTTGCGGGGCTCCGGAGTTCTTGGGCTTCCTAGAAGGATGATGAGAGGCGCGGTGCCGGCTTTGCTTTTCAGGGGCAAATTAAGCGAAAGGTCTACTCTACTCGGGAAGAAAGATCTCGGAAGCTCAGTTTAGGATCGGCACTCGTTCGCGATTCGGCGACTTTATCCAACCCGGCGCGCACGAGAGGTGGCGCGGCTCCTCCTAGCCGACGCCGCGGAAAACCACGGCTCACCAGCTGCCCTCGGCCTGTTTCACGCCAGGGGGGATTTCTGCCCGAGGAGTGGGGGACCTTTAGCCTCACCTCGGAGTAGTCACCCGCCACCGTTCCAAGCCCAGGAGCCGCACAGTACGGGTCTGACGGGCCCCTCACCTTTCCTGGAGCAGCTGAGTGGAGCTCCGCTCTGCCGTGCGGCGGGCGAGGGGCGTGGAGCAGGGCCTGTGTGGCCAGGGCCGCACTGGTCACTCCATCCTCGTCCGGCCGAAGCCCAAAATCGACGGCTGCTTCCAACTCACGCTGGCCGTGACTTACGCGGGCGCCCCGCGGCTCCGGCCGGCTACGGCAGGTCGGGCGGAGGGCCTGGCCCACCCAAGGGGCTACGCCAGGGGCTGAAGCGGCTTAGAGGGTCATTAATCAAACCGCCGGGTGGGTCGGGCTCAGGGGGCGGGGCGTCCTCCTGGCCCCGCCCCTCGGTTCAGCGCCTCACGCTGCTTTTCCCTAGGCGCCTCGCTGAGGGCGGCGTGTGGAAAGTCTGGGGTGTCGGCTGCCGGCTGCGGTGGGGCAGGGCTGGAGGCCGCGGGTGAGGCCTGTGGTTAACCTCGCGCTGCCGAGGTCCTACCTCCTCGGGTCCAGTCTGATTCCAGGGCGCTTCCAGCTGAGGCGGGAGCGTTGCCGTTTGGTTGAGCGTGACTTTTAAGCTCTGTGAGGAAAAGTCAAGCGCGCCACATCGAGGCGCTAGCCGTTTATTCTACCACAAGGTAAAAGATTCATACTGTCCTAGTTACCCTAAAGCTGGGAGATACACTGCACTTCCTACCAGACCCCGAATGCTCCCGCTGTCCGTAATTCTTTAAGAAATTCCCAGAGCAGGCAGCCCTTGGATCGTGGGTGCTTCTCCCCGGGGACGCGGACCTTGCTGACTGCCTCTGCTGCCCGCGCGGGGGCCACCGCTCTTTAATTATTTGGACGAAACATTCTTTTCTGGTTTTGCTCTTGTGGACCCACGGGAAGCGTGACTTGCAGCGAGGCAGGACCCGATCCCAGGCTTCTTTAGAAAGCGGGCACTGCGCCCCAAGGCCTGTTCAGAGTCGCCCCAGAAAGCCATGGGCCCCCGGGCGCCCCAATCCGCAGCGGTTTCTGCAGGTCCTGGACCCGTCGCCTTCGTAGGTGAAATCTGAGTACTTTCCAACAACATAATTAGAACACACTCGAAACAATGCCTGCAATTCGCAGAGTAGGACATTTTCTGTTTTTGTGTTTGAGACAGGGTCTCTGTCGCCCAGGCTGGAGAGCAGTGGTGCCATCTCGGCTCACCTCAGCCTCCAACTTTCGGGCTCAAGCCAAGAGCAGGATATTTTCTTATATTCTTTGGGGTCAATCGGAATATCAAATTTAAAATGTCACTAAAGAAACCGCGCTCTTGTATATGCACCATCATTTAATACTTTCCAGTAGATTTCTAAGTTGGAACTACTGTAACCAAGTCGTCAGCAGTCCTGATGGCACTATTTGGATGTACTGGTCCACAAATTAAGTACATTAGTGAGTCAGAATGGCACTTAGGCTTTCATCTCAATTCCCACCCAATAACTGTAATTAGATTTACACTTTAGAAAGAAGCACACCAAAATTCCATTGATTCAAAAAGGGGCTCGGTGCGGTGGCTCATGTCTGTAGTCCCAGCTACCCCCAAGGCTGAGACGGAAGGATCTCGTGAGCCCAGGAGGTTGAGGCTGCAGTGAGCTGTGATCGCGCCATTGAAGGGACTTCTATTGCTGAATGAAAAAGTACATATTTTTCCAGTAAATTGTTTGTAATGAGGAATAAAGCAACTAGATCCCTGAATTCACAGGCGGAAAGCAATGTTTCAGATTCTATAAAGCAGCAAATCAAACAATAACTTAAAAGTTTTTCTGTGTGAGATACCATAAAGCTACAAACCCACAAAAGATATTGTTGCCTAGTCCTATAAGGTTAAAAACAAAATCAAACATTTCCTGTCACTTGAGGCTGAATTTACTCATTTTCTGCAAACAAATTTTCTTTTTCTTTGGGGTTATGGAAAAGGTGAGGTTCATGCACATCATTTTTTGTCAGCAAGCTTTCAGATTGCTTCAGAGAGAGATTCCTATATTTATAGAGAGGGGAAAAAAGCATTAAATTAAAAAAATGAAAGTATCCCCAAAAGGTAGCAAACATAGAATCTAGGGCACAATAACAATATTAAAGGCTAATGATTAGTCACCAAACTGTGTGAATCTTGTTGGGCTTTAAAAAGGAAGCAGAAACAAAGATTTTCCTCTTGGTGTAGCGAAGAATGTAAAAAATCTGTGATTTGTGAGAGGTATGGAAAGAATATTAGATGAAAGGTGGACCAGGTCTAAGATGAGGCAAATTTGAGGGGTCTGGGGCTTCTTATATTTTGCACCCAGATTGTCCTTATAATGCAATATAATCACACATATCAATTTATTCCATATTGTTTTTAATATATAAATATTTTATATGTATATAAAACAGTAGATTAATTGGTACTTTTTTCACCTTTCATTTCCCTCATTATTTAAATTGTAATTTACATAGTTAAATTCACCCTTTTCAGTGTAAATTCACCCAGTTCAGCAAGCTTTCATAAACATATGTCTTATAACCATCAATGCAATAAAGATATAGAACATTAATTCTCCAAAATTATCTTGTGCTGACCCTTTGCAGTCCACCCTTTCTCCCACCTCCAGTTTCTGGCAACTGCTAATCTGTTTTCTGTCTCTGTAGTTTGCCTTTGCTAGAAAGTCGCACAAATAGAAGCATATTATATAGTATGTAACCTTTTGAGTCTGGTTTCTTTCACTTAGCATAATGCTTTTGAGATCCATGTTGTTGAGTATATCACTAGTTCATTCGTTTGTATTGCTGAATAGTTTTCCATTGTATAGATGTGCCACAGTTTGTTTATCCATTCCTCAGATGAAAACCTTTGGAACTGCAGTGAGTTGAGATTGCGCCACTGCACTCCAGCCTGGGTGACAGAACGAGACTCCGTCTCAAAAAAAAAAAAAAAGGAAGAAAACCTTTGGATTGTTTTCAGTTTTTGGCGATTATGAATAATATTATAAATGTTCAGGTACAGGTTTTTGTGAGTATACGTTTTCATTTCACTTGGGAAAATAACCAGGAGTGAACCACTAGCTGCTAGATGTGTTAAATATATGTTTACCTTTTTTTTGTTTTTTTGTTTTTTTTTTTTGAAGGAGGCTCTCGTTGTGTCACCCAGGCTGAAGTGCAGTGGTGTGATCATAGCTCACTGTAGGCTTGAACTCTGGGGCTCAAGTGATCCTCCAAGTGATCCTCCCACCCTAGCCTCCCAAGTAGCTGTAACTACAGGCATGTACCACCATGCCCAGCTTAATGTTATAAGAATATGTCAAACTGGCTGGGTACAGTGGTTCACATCTGCAGTTCCAGCACTTTGGGAGACTGAGGTGGGAGGATTGTTTAAGTATAAGAGTTTGAGACCAGCCTGGATAGTATAGTGAGATCCGGTCTGTACAAAAAAATTTTTTAAATTACATGGGCGTGGCGGAACGTGCCTGTAGTCTCAGCTACTCAGAAAGCTGGGGCAGGAGGATTGCTTGAACACAGAAGGTTGAGGCTGCAGTGAGCTGTGTTTGAGCCACTGCACTCCAGCCTGGGCAACAAAGTGAGACCCTGTCTCTCAAAAGATAAATACATAAATAAAATAATATGTTAAACTACTGTCCAAAGTGTCTGTACTATTTTTGCATTCCAGCCAGCAGTACACGAGAGTTCCAGTTGCTCCATATCCTAGCCAGCATTACCAGCTTTTGTTTTTTCTTTTTATCCATTCTAGTACATGTTATTTTTTAAGAAAAAATTAAATATTTAAAAATCAGATGATTTTGTAACCGAGATATCTCACTTGCCAGCTAGTGTGATGCATGTCCATCTAGCCACACCATTGTGGAGCTGAATAGCTACAGTTGCCTTTAGTTGGGCATGTGCTTTCCAGTTCACCTTAGTCACCTCCTCACCTGTTCTCATTTATTAACTTCCTGTTCCTAAGGGTGGTTTTGTTTGAGAGTCCCCAGCAGAGTACTTGAGAGGCTGGCTATTGGAGTCAGTGAGCTATGTTCAAGTCCTAGCTCTGCTCATGGCAATTGTGTGACCTTGGGTCCTTCTGATTGTACCTCTCCAAGCCTCATTTTCCCATCTATAAAATGGGGCTTATAGTATTCTTAAAAGAGTTCCATTGTGTTTTAAAATTTGTTTGGATGGGCCGGGCGCGGTGGCTCACGCCTGTAATCCCAGCACTTTGGGAGGCCCAGGCGGGCGGATCACGAGATCAGAAGAGAGAGACCATCCTGGCTAACACGGTGAAACCCTGTCTCTACTAAAAATACAAAAAATTAGCCGGCGTGGTAGCCAGCGCCTGTAGTCCCACCTACTTGGGAGGCTGAGGCAGGAGAATGGCGTGAACCCGGGAGGTGGAGCTTGGAGTGAGCCGAGATTGCGCCACTGCACTCCAGCCTGGGCAACAGAGCGAGACTCTGTCTCCAAAAAATAAAAATAAATAAAAAAACATAAATAAATAAATAAATAATTTGTTTGGATAATGAAGAGTCAGCTTTCAAAATATAGGCATTTTAAAATGGAAAATAATTCTTTTGAATTAGGTCTTATATAACTCTTGTTCACAGAGTAAACCATTGACAGATCACAAAAACTAGCTTGTTTTAACTAAAACTAGTCTGTTTTAACTAAAAAAAGTGTTTGTTTTTTGAGATAAGGTCTTTCTCTGTCGCCCAGTCTGGAGTGCAGTGGCACAATCGCGACTCACTGCAGTCTCAACCTCCTGGGCTCAAGCAATTCTCTCACCTTAGCCTCCCAAGTAGCTGGGACTACAGAGAGGTGTTACTACACCTGAATTTTTTTTTCTTATGGAGATGAGGTCTCACTGTGTTGCCCAGACTGGTTTCGAACTCCTGGCCTCAAGCAATCCTCTCCTTCTTCAGCTTCCCAAAGTGCTGGAATTATAGGCATGAGCCACCTCACCCAGCCTAAAAAAACTATGTTGCTTACCACTATTGTGCTTTTTCTGGGAAGGAGGGGAGTATCTTAATTTCAAAATGGTTCTTTGAGAACTGCAAATCCAAATATTAACATTATACCTACATTACTGATACACATAAGCTTATTTTTGCATATAAATTAAATAGACTGTTATGTTTAACAAAGCAAAATTTGCAAGTGAGTTTATATAACATAATTCCAGAGTTTTGTGACTAAAAATATCTGAGTTTTAAAAATTCTTTCCTAAGTACATAGATCCGTTGTTACAACTGTTCAAACAACCTTAACAGTGGTGAAGGAAGGTTGTTTTGACTGTTATTCAAGTTCACTTTTTAATTCAAAGAAATCTAACACTTCCATATTCTAACAAAGGGTACTAGGTATTTTATAAATAGTTAATATACAGTGAATATTTCCTGTGAATTATGGGCCCCAGTGATTTGTATTCCTTAAAGGTATCTGAAATTAAGGGCATTTTTACCCAGCTAGAAAGTTATTATTTTTACATTAACAAAAGAGATGGATTGACTTTATTAACATTGCTTGGGTTTGAAAGATAGTTAAATAATCAAGTAACAATTTGTTTTTCATTGTATGGTGCTACAGAGTATTCTCAGTGGATTTTATATGCAATATATAAATGCATTTAATGTCTATTTTAAAATTACTAAGGCTCAGGCACCTCCTAGCATGTTTGCAAAGAGAGGAAACATCTGTCAGAAGTATTTACCGTGACAAACACAGAAAGAAGCAATAATGTGTACCTTTTTGTTTGTTTAATACCATATTTTAAAAAATTGAACAGTGAAGGCATTTGTTCAGAATCAGCCTTTAAATAAAAAATAGTTTTGACCTAATCGTTAATTAAAGTATACATTGATAGTATCAAGTTCAGTTTGAGGGTCAAAAACAACGTCAATGAGTCTGACTTTTTCCTCCCAGTAGGGAAAGGAGGCTTGTATAAATATACATGAGCACAGATTGCATGCATTTATAAAAGAGGTGGAAAACATTCCCCTGTCTCTGGACAGATGTTGCTTCATTGGCTCCACATACGATACAGGCACAGCCCCCAGTGTGTAGAACCCTAAAGGAGTGTGGGGCACATACCTTTAGCTTTTTGGAAGATGCACTGTAAGCTTATTTCCACCTCTGAGCAGGCTCCCCACCTTGAATATTAAATATAGAGTGTAGGGACATGTCTGCTGATGCCAGCTCATTCTTTCCCTTAAAGTAATTAAGGCAAGGGGTAGCTTTAATCAATTTTCTAGAAACTAAAAATCTGTTCTTTGTGTTTGGGCTGAGTATTTTGTTTTCAACACTTTACTGAACTTCTAGCTTTATTTTCATTATCTCCTAGATTTATGTTATATTACTAAAATTAGCAAAAGGCATGCCCTGATAATCTATATCAAGAGTTTGATGAAACTGTAATATATTTGATTACCTTTTATTAAAGAGAGGTAGAACTGATAATCTCCTTTAATACAGATTAAATCTTTTGATATACTAAAACAATATTTTGGCATACCTAAGGTGAAAGTATTGCCTGAGGAAATAATAAGCATTTAAACATTTATTTAATACTTTTTCACAGGATAAAATTGAAGACTCAGGATTGAACATAATTGGCTTCACTTGATGGTGGCTGAGGCAGGACATTCTTATGTTCTCACAGAACCCTTCTGGTTTGCTGGCTTCATTTAGGATAGCCTATCTTTGCAGTACATAGTAGTTTGTATTTTTAAAAATGCATTTAGTTCTGTATTTAGTGTTTGTAGTTAGGAAAATGAGGGTAGAGTGATTTGATGTTTTATCAGTGCACTCCTAGTGACTTGAGCTTTGCTTGGGGCTATACAGTATGTGGAGTGGGCCACAGCTCACTATTGATCTAACAATGTACATGGCAATGTATAGAATTCATCAACATTGTTTTCTGAGGCTGTGTCATTTTTATTGTTTTATTTTCTTCCTTGATGATATACTAGCAAGATTTTTCAAAATGCTTGGCAAAGAAACAAAACCTAAGAGCACTGTTGTGGAATTGATAACAGTTGTGTAAACCTTTAAGAAACTATTGTTGTGCTATGGACAACTATGCAGTGGTTTGGTGGTAATGACAATGGACATAAGCAGTAAATGTCTCACATAGCTCCTGTTTTATTGTGAATGGAGAGGAGGCAAGACCAAAACGAGGACTCCCTGATATCCTTTCACTTCTTCCCCAAATAAAGCATTTTCCATACCCACAGACCTTCTCTCTCCTAAGACTGCATCCCAGCAAGCCTGAGCCACTCTGCAGGGAACAGGGGTAGGACAGTGCAGCAGTAATGTTCACAGGGCTTCTTGAAGTGGGCTATACTAGGCAATTCTAAATCATCATCCCTTGATGGGACCCTGCAAAGAGGGTCTCATGATAAGCCCACTTGACCTTCAGCAGGCAGTTCTGGGAAAAGGAAAACGATTCCAAAGTATGTCCCCTGGCTCTGTTTACTTTCTCAATGAAATATGCTATTCGCCTTTAGTATATTGCGATCACTAATCTGATATGGTTGGAAGGATCAATAGAGCAATCATTGTATTGATTATAAATGAAAAAATAAGTTTAATGCAAAATGTATAAGATGTATTAGGATCTGGTTTTTAAAGCCCATAGCATTTATCACACTATAGAGTAGTTATACCATATTTGACTCCCCAGCTTGTTTGTGGCAAAATATTTGAGATCAGGATTATCTCATTATCTCAAAACAGGATTATCAGTTTTGAATATAAAAACTCAAATGAGTTTTTATATTCAGTGTTGCCCAGCATATGGCAGATATCTCATGTTTTACATATAAATGAAGTTACTTTCTGGTATGGATATTTATTTATTTAATTTATTGAGATGGGGTCCCACTCTGTTGCCCAGGCTGGAGTGCGGTGGAGCGATCTCAGCTCATTGCAGCCTCTGTCTCCCAGGCTCAAGTGACCCTCCCACTTCAGCCTCCCAAGTTGCTGGGACTATAGGCACGCACCACCATGTCCAGCTGATTTTTGTATTTTTTTTTTTTTTTTTTGTAGAGAAGGGGTTTGTCCTTGTTGGCCAGGCTGGTCTTGAACTCCTGGACTAAAATGATCTGCCCACCTAAGCCTCCCAAACTGCTGGGATTACAGGCACAAACAACTGTCCCCAGCTCTGGTTTATTTTTCCATCAAAGCAATACCTTTTTTAAACCAAAAAGCAAATTTTTCCTCATCAGGAGAAACTTCTGTCTCCTTCAGAGACAACAGCTTAAAAATCTGGTTTGTAGAAGTGGTGAAAATAGCCTAATTCTGTAGTCCTCTGGACTTTCTGCAACCATATGCTGTGCAGTCGCCCACCCACTCCTCATCAGGTAGGCCTCAGGCTCCTTTGACAGAATCCCTGATCATTGTCTTTACCTACTGCCTCTGGAACTTTTCTGAGTCCCCTACCTTACCTCAGTGGGTGTATCCAGTCTAACTGCCAAGTCTTCTGGAAACACCCCTTCCCACTGTAACTTTCTGACTGTTTGGGCAGACCAACAATGAACCTTTTTTTTTCTTTCTATGTTTGGCCAAAAAAGATTGAGAACAAAGAACTAGGAGACAGATTGGATGGCCTCTGTTCCTCTTTGTTTACTGTGAAGATGTCTCCTCCCCACCAAAAAGGTAAAGTCACATAAATATTTGAAAGAACCTACCCCATCTCTTCAATAATTTTAGTGTAATCTTCTCGGGAACTTTCTGGAGATGCATTTCCATTTACAGGGTATCTCTGTATTTCAGAGAAAAAGACTAATTTTGGCTTACCCACCTGTGGGTAATAAACAGGAACGATGTGATGCATTGTTTCAAAGTTACCTGTAGCACACAAAGAAATAAAAGCATTCTGCTTTGAAACTAATAACTGAATTGTAAAAAAGGGTATGACAATATTAGATTATCTAAAAATTAAATAGAGCTAAATGAATACACAGTAAAACTAGTAATAAAATTAATAACCCAAGAAAAAATAGGGCAGACTTTCATACACGAAAACGTATACAGGAAAGTTCTTGGTCAACTCTTTAAAATAAAATAAAATGGGCATGCCAACATTAATATAAATATTAACTGCCCTTAATTTTACTGTTCTGAGTTAGTTTATTTTTTTCAAATTGTTTCATTTGTAGGGAGTAAATTAGTCATGTATCTTTTTGGGGATATGTCCATACCTTTATTCTGGCACTTAACATTCCACATCAGTTACCTGCTTTCAGATCCTCCTCCCTTTCCAGCAGTAAGTTCCTTTTAAGTGGGGACAGCCCTATTCACCTCTAATCCACAGTGACTGGCATATTCTTGGACACATTCGAGGTGCTTAATGTTTACTATGATTTTTTCTATAGAAGTGCTATAAAAGAAAGTGCTAAAAGATGTGAGTATATTTTGGATTTTATTAAGATATTAAAGTACGTTTACAATTTTGTGTCATATAGCTATATGGCTATACTTAGGATAAGATTTTTAAATTGTAAGATCCTTGAAGTTAGAGGTTATAATAATTCCTATAATTTTACCATAATCCCCAATATAGAGCTCTAAATTTACAAGGCTATCAAAAATACATAAAAGATTAAGAAGTACAAAAATTATTACCATCTTTTTAAGAATTCCTATTCCCTTACAATGTATTTGGTTGTGCAGAGGTGCCTTTAAAAGGTTCATTTTAACTCTTCTAAAGATCTGAAAGGTAGGTATACTGTAGATTTTGAAAATATATAATATATTTTCTAGATTTTAATTTATGCTTTCCCTTTCTCTTGCACAGTTATAAAAGTCTTTGCATAAAGACCATATAGTCTGCTATTGGACATATACAAAAGGATAGAGTTATTGTATATTTATATACATGTATACAGGGATGTCACTGCTTTTAAGCCTGAGAGTTCCAGGTTTGTACCATCTGTTTGGATGGGGATGGCAAACATGGGCAAAGGGGAGGGAGGACCTACAAATGGCCAAGGAAGAATAACCAAGTACTCCTGAGAAAAGCTCAGAAAATTTTCTGCTGCAGCGAGTCAGTGTGTTCACTTTAAATTTTATTTTAATTGATTTTAGAGATTTTTTTTTTTTTTGAGACAGAGTCTCATCTTGTCACCCAGGCTGGAGTGCAGTGGCACGATCTCGGCTCACTGCAACCCTTGCCTCCTGGGTTCAAGTTATTCTCCTGCCTCAGCCTCCCTAGTAGCTGGGATGATAGGCGCCTGCCACCACACCTGGTTAATTTTTGTACTATTAGTAGAGATGGGGTTTCACCATGTTGGCCAGGCTGGTCTTGAACTCCTGACCTCAGGTGATCTGCCTGCCTCGGCCTCCCAAAGTGCTGGGATTACAGTCATGAGCCACCGCACCCAGCCGAGACCATTTTTCAATATAGTAAATTATGTAATCTATTTGAGTACTCCTTTTAAAATTTTGAAATTTGTTTTATTATCCTATTTCCTCTAGCTCCTTTTTAGTTATAAAAATTGTTTACATATCACGTATTTCCATATCCGTGATTTTCCCAAATTCCCACCAAATTGAATTTCTAAGTAGAGCATTATTGCTTTAGATGATTAATTGTCCTTCTATCCCAGCTTAATTTAGCCTGTGCCCCCTGCTAGCTTTGTAAACTCAAGACAAGTCACTTCATTTTCTGAAACTGAACTTTCTCATCTGCAAAATGCATATAATAATCCTCTGCCTTACAGGTTGTAATAATTAAATGCAATAATGTGGGTAAATATCTGAAATGTTTAGCACAGTAAATGTCAGTTCTTTTTTCTTCCCTTGCCCCCTCTTCTTTGCCTTCTAATTCCGAGTGCTTTCCATTTTAAATTATTAATAATTATCATAACAGCAACTACCACAAGGTCTGAAATGAAGCTTACATACTATAACATTCTATACGGACTTTAAAAAATTGTAGCAAAACTATTTAACATGAGATCTACCCTCTTTTTTTTTTTTTTTTTTGATGATATCTTGCTCTGTCACCCAGGGTGGGGTGCAGTGGTGCCATCTCGGCTCACTGCAACCTCTGCCTCCCAGGTTCAAGCGGTTCTCTTGCCTCATCCTCTCAAGTAACTGGGACTACAGGCGCATGCCACCATATCCAGCTAATTGTTTTGTATTTTTGGTAGAGACAGGATTTCACCATATTGGCCAGGCTGGTCTCGAACTCCTGACCTCAAGTGATCTGCCTGCCTCAGCCTCCCAAAGTGCTGAGATTACAGGCGTGAGCCACTGCGCCCAGCCAAGATCACCCTCTTAACAAAGTTTTAAATGTACAATACATTATTGTTTTACCTTAGGTACAATGTCGTACAGTAGATCTCTAGAGCTTATTCATCTTGTTTGGCCGAAACTTTATGCCCATTGATTAGTAAGTCCCCCTTTCCTCCCCTCATTTGCTGGCAATAGCACTCCACTCTTTGAGTGTATGAATTTAACTATTTTAGATATCTTATATAAGTTGAATCAGTATTTGTCTTTCTTTGACCTGGCTCATTTCACTTAGCATAATATCCTCAAGGCTCACCCATGTTGTCACATATTGCAGAATTTCCCTTCTTTGTAAAGCTGAATAGTGTTCCATGTTCCATTTAATATACATTTCCTTTATCCATTCATCTCTCCAACGTCCATGTACCTAGTTTCCACATCTTGGCCATTGTGAATAGTGCTGCAATGAACATAGGAGTACTGATGTCTCTTGGAGATCCTGATTTCAATTCTTTTGGATAAATATCCATAAGTGGGATTGTTGGGTCATATGGCAGTCCTATTTTTAACTTTTTGAGGAATGTTCATACTGTTTGTTATAGTGGCTGCACCATTTTACGTTCCCACCAATGATGTGCAAGAGTTCCAATTTCTTCACATCCTCTCTAACACGTGTTACCTGTTTAAAAATAATAGCCATCCAGGCACAATAGCTTGTGTCTGTAATATCAGCACTTTGGGAGGCAGAGGCAGGTGGATCACTTGAGTTCAGGAGTTGGAGACCAGTCTGACCAACATGGTGAAACCCCATCTCTACTAAAAATGCAAAATTAGCCAAGTGTGGTGGTACATGCCTGTAATCTCAGCTACTTGGGAGGCTGAGGCAGGAGAATTGCTTGAACCCAGGAGGCGGAGGTTGCAGTGAGCCGAGATCACGCCATTGCACTCCAGACTGGGCGACAAGAGTAAAACTCTGTCTCAAACAAACAAAAAAAAGCCACCCTGACAGGTATGAGGTGATAGCTGATTACAATTTTGATTTGCATTTCCCTGATGATTACTGACATTGAGTATTTCTTCAAATACCTGTTGGCCATTTGCATGTCTTCTTTGGAGGAACAAAAACCACTATTTGTTTAAGAGACTTTTCTTTCCCCATTGTGTATTCTAGGCACCTTTGTCAAAGATCAATTGATTATGTCTGCATGGATTTTTTCCTGGGCGCTCTATTCTGTTCTGTTTCTCTATATGTCTGTCTTCTGCCAGTACCATACTGTTTCGATTACTGTATCTATGTAATATATTTCAAAATCAGGAAATGTGATGCCTTCAGCTTTGTTCTTCATTCTTAAGATTGATTTGGCTATTTGTGGTCTTCATTGGTTCCATATGAATTTTAGAATTGCTTTTTTCTATTTCTATAAAAAATGCCATTGGGATTTTGATAGAAATTGCATTGAATCTGTGGATCACTTTTGGTCTTATGGATATTTTACAATATTGAGTCTTCCAATTCATGAACATGAGGTGTCTTTTCATTTGTGTCTTGTTTAATTTCTTTTAAAATTTATAAGCAGACATTGCAGAAGATGTCTTGTTTAATTTCTTTCATCGATGTTTTGTAGTTTTCAGCATATGTCTTTCACCTCCTTAATTAAATTTATTCCTGGGTATTTTATTCTTTTGTTGTTATTGTAAATGGGATTATTTTCATAATTTCTTTTCAGATAGTTTGTTGTTAGTTTATCTACATGACTTTAAACATTGTTTTTGGGCTGGGCGCAGTGGCTCATGCCTGTAATCCCGGGACTTTGGAAGGCCGAGGTGGGTGGATCACTTGAGGTCAGGAGTTTAAGACCAGCCTGGCCCACAGGGTGAAATCTTATTTACTAAAAATACAAAAATTAGTCGGGTGTGGTGGTGCACGCCTGTAATCCCAGCTACTCGGGAGGCTGAGGCAGGAGACTTGCTTGAACCTGGGAGGCAGAGGTTGCAATGAGCTGCAATCGTGCCACTGCACTCTAGCTTGGGCAACAGATTACTCTATCAAAAAAAAAAAAAAAAAAAGATTGTTTTTGTTAGTTGGTGCTCACACTAGATTATAAAGAGATTAATAAGGACTGTTTTGAGAAAATTAAATGGCTAATTTTAAAAAATTTAGTTGAGACATAATTGTACATATTTATAGGGTACATAGTGATGTTGCAATACATATAATGTATAGTGATCAAATAAGGGAAATTAGCATATACATAATCTCAAACATTTATCATTTCTTTGTGTTGGCAACATTCAATATTCTCCTTCTAGCTATTTTAAACTATATATGATTGTTATCTATGGTCATCCTATAGTGCAGGGGTCCCCAACCCAATGGTCCTGGTCTGTAGCCTATTAGAAACTGGGCCGCACAGCAGAAGGTGAGTGGCAGGTGAGCGAGCAAGGCTTTATCTGTATTTACGTCTGCTCTCCATCACTCGCATTACCACCTGAGCTCTGCCTCCTATCAGATCTACTACAGCATTAGATTCTCATAGGAACATGAACCCTATTGTGAACCGCGCATGTGAGGGATCTAGGTTGTGAACTCCTTATGAGAATCTAATGCCCAA